TCAATATCATCTGCCTGCATCTACAAAACAGAAGAATTCGTGACTTGGGTAGCCTTTTGTAGTAGTGCTTATACTTCAGTTCAAATAAATCCTTCAAAAATAAGATGATTCTTCTAGTATATAGAAAGAAAAATTGTCAGAATTGAGTAAACGAAATCCTTTCTAGGATTTTGTTTTACAGGTAATTTAAGTATATGAAGATGTTTGAGTTTTACTAGTATAATTTAACAAGGCTGCTGTTTTGATTTTAGAATCAAGTACTTCAACTCTATCAGAAAGCTGTAAAGCTAAATTTCTTCATTTGCAACTACCTGATAGCATTATGAAATTAAGGAAACTAGTGTTTTCAGACTGTTAATATTTCTTGACATTTTGGAGGGGTACAAATTACAAACTTTTATGAAACAAACTTTAATGTGCACACATTCGTGACGTTTTAAAAGTGTGCAAATAAATTTTAGAAGGATGTTGTCTATACTGTCCAAATAAATTATACTGTGAAAACAAAATGATAGAAGGATGTTCTCTGTACTGAGGTTTTTAATGACATTATTGATAGCATTCTGTTTGGGGCCACAGAAATAGGATTACTGAGATGCTGATGCTCTTTTTCTCTTTGACTTTCAAGGTAATCATGGCAGTAGCAGAGGATTTGCTGTGTTCTGCTTCTCAGAGCAGTCGCATTTCACTGCAGCGAACTCAGGCTGGATGGCTGTTGATAGCTGCCCTCATGACATTAGGTAGCGGCTTCCTACAGTTTTTCTTAAATGACATTAAGCTGTTCTGTGTTCTGTCTCTGACTTTAGTTCTTTTGATGTTTCATTTAATTTACAGCTGCAAGATAATTTTAAAAAAGCAAATATTAATTGGAATCTTTAGATAAAATTTATTTTAGAAAATAATTTTGTTCAAATTTGCTATTACTTAATTGGGAGCAATGTCTGAAAAACAGTGACTAAGACCATTAAATGTAGAAGATAATTTTCTAAGTCAGCCTAACCAAATGTGTTTGTTATGAAGAATTATACTGATATTTTTTAACATCTATCACAGCACAAAATGAGCTAATCATTTTCATTTCCCTCTTGTCAGGCCTTGGAAATCTTACAGAACTTTCTGGTATTTATTAGTGGTCAGATTATTGACTATGATCACTACATTACTAATGAATGTAATTTATCTGTTCATATTTTTAAGGTACCTTTCTTGTTTCCAGCTGTTACTTGTGACTAACAGCTCCCAGTTTTCTCCTAGAGTAGGGAAAACACACGTTGTGCATTAGCCTATGACAAATGTTTGCCTTTCTGAACATCACTATCACATCTCTTTTTTTATGTTGGTGATCCATAGAATCTGTACTTAGAAAAGCAGAGATTATAGTTGGCTTGGTGGCACACTAGTAAATTTGTCAGGGGGTGTGTAGTTATGTATGAAAACAGAGTATCAAGACAGTAAATATTTGAGAAATTATATATGAGAAGACTAAAAGTTTTGTTCACAACTATAGATTTTGTGAACATAGAGAAGAACCAAAGAGAAAATATAGTTTTTATTAATCTTTACATTGGCATGACAGCTGTTGATGTTTACAGGTCCTGCAGTTGTCCAACACCATCTGCCACGAATGCTGCTACTATGGAAGTGCATCTTCCCATCGTCTCCTAAAGACCTAGAAACAGAGAAGACACGAGGAGATTCATTTACCTGGCAAGTAACGCTGGAAGGTCGTGCTGGTGCTCTCTGTGGTGAGCAGCATTTACTGTCTTTCTCTGCATATTTATAGTTGAGCTGTTTGTTTATTTTTCCTTCTGAAAGAACAATGGTACTTCATCTTGACTTTTTTTTTTTTTGGGGGGGAGGTATGTTCTGTTGTTTATACAGTCCATTGTATTTGGTAAACAGAAGTTCTGTTTCATAACAGGTAACTTGCTGTAAGCAAAATAGAATTGGTAAGTCAGTCAAACACATTTGTGAGAGTGAGAAGAGTCAGGTAAAAATCACAATAAGGAAGTTGCAATTCTCAGCCAGTAATGAGTTCCATGTTTGGGGCTGCTTTCTGGGAGGTTGCAGTTCTTCATCATGAAATACTGTGAACTTGGACTTCCAAGAGATGACTGACTCCAGTGATCTTCAAATAATTAATGTGTTTCAGTCATGTGTTCTAGATTACTAAAGGGGGCTTTTCATTGCAGAATGTATAACCCTAGTATAGTGATTACTTCTCTCTCTCACTACTAAAATCTATCCAAAATGTGAAATTTCATTTTGGAAGTAACCTAAACAATTAATTGTTGTTTGGGTGGGGGTTTTTTTATGTCTTTTGGATATAGATCTGTAATGCTGTGTATTCTCTAGGTTATTTTTGGAAAGTTAACTCAAATGTAATTTTCTGTAAATACTGAAAAATACTTGGATACATGTAAGTTTTTTCTCAAAGTACAGTAATTAAGCCACATTTAAATAACTAGCAAAGTAAGCAGTAGGTCATCTGATCGTAATTCTCATATTTTTTTCTTTTATTATTATAATGGAATTACCATGAAGCTGAGTTATATCCCATAATTCATAACAAAAAGCAACAAATTGTTTGCATTTATATACACAAATAAAAGTCAGGATATGAATATCCAAGCTGATATTTTTGCCAGTTTCTTAAGTATTGGTCAAAATATCTTACCTTTTTTTTATCTGCATCCTTTCTTCTACTTTTAAATTATTAGCGAGGTAATAATGTGACTACTTCACTAATGTGATTTTTTTTTTTTTTTTTTTTTCTTCTGGGTATCTCACACTAAGTAATTTAAAATACAATTCCTTTTCCAGCTATCAAAAGCTTTGTTTCCCACTGTGCTGGTCTTCTGACAGATGAAGTTGTTCAGAGGCTTCTTCCTCCACTCCCAAGTGCTATTGAGTTACTGACACAGTGAGTGTGTGTATAAAACTGTTAAATGAGATTCTGGTTTTGAGAAACTACATGATAATCTTCTCGTATTTGATTCATTGCACTTTCTAAAGAACTTTCTTTTCAAGGTAGAAAATTCAGAGCATAGAATTCACCTGTTTAGCTGAAGACTTTAGCTGGTGTAAATTATTATTATTATCTTGAAGATGCCAGTATGGTATATAAAAGATAGGAAATTATTGCATGGTTTTCTTAAGTTAGTGGTTTTATTTAACTTTTTTAATCAAACATACACATTAATGTTTAGGCATGGTCATTTTTTATAAATAAAAAGTCAAATTCAAGTATATGCGTGGACAAAAAGTTTTAAATGTGGGCATTTTTTATATTTAGATTCAAAGCTAAGCTGGACAGAGATTTATAATTTTTAAACTTTTGCCTTCAGACTATATAGTGATTTAATGTATTTGAGCTCTAAACTAACTTACAGACCTAGATCCACAAAAAAGTCAATTGGAATAATTACAGCTACAATTGAAGGAAATTGAAAACCTTGTTTATTTCTCTAGTATTCAATAAAAACAACTGGAAATAGAGAACAGGTGTTTTGTCAGAACATGTGAAGTTGTTTTGCTTTTACTAGGGGTAATGCAAGTTGAAATTACACTTATATGTATAGATTTTTAAAGTATTCAGTAGTGCGGTACAAATGAAACTGGTCTATTGCATAATGCTTGAAGTCTTTAATTAATCTCTGATGTGCTTTTTATGTTTTAAGGCTTTCTTCAATATATAAATCATATGGAAATTCTTTAAAAATGCCATCAATGGTTTACAGACATAAACTTTATGAATTGCTAGCAGTATTGCCTCCAAAGACCTATGAAGGTACGTTTTTTCTTGCAAAGAGAAATCCATTTTAAATGCTGTGGACTCATTTTTAAGTTTCTGTTCAACATATATTCAGCTAGCAGTAATTAGTTCCACCTTTTGTAAAGCATTTTATTCCTTCTGTTTAAATTTGATGAAATGCTAGTGAAGTTACTGTGGTTTTGAAAAGCTAGTGTTCGTGATCTTTGTTTTCCCCCTCTCCTATTACAAATATAGACTTTTTTTCCTATTTTTAGTTGAAACTTGAAGGCAGACAACCTTGCGATTTTAAACTGTTTGAAAAATTTACTTTGTTTTACTTTCCATTGAATCCTAAATCCAAGAAGCATATTCTTACCATAAATCAATTGCATATAGTACATTGAAAGAATTTAATTTAATTGCTTCAAATAGACTTGTGTATTACAGATATATTAATCTGATCCTGTGTAAATTTTAAACAAAACCTGGGGATAGACTTTCTTGTAGTGGAACATAATTAGCAATATTTAAAATCTAATCCTCTGCTCTAATAACTATGTACTGCAATTAGGTCTAATAGTTGAGCTAAGACACTAAATACCATTGTCGTCTCCACGTTGTTTGCATATTGAGTACTGTGTGGACTGAAATAAGGAACCAGGGTGGTTTTGACAGTCGTAAAGAGAAGTACAGAGTAGTTAATTAGGACAGAGAGAATACGAGCCAGCCAGGCACTGGATTGGTTGTGTCCTCTGTATTATGGAGGGAGTCCTTACACAAATAATCTGCTCCATCTAGTGGTAACTGCTTCGTGAGTCTTCATTAAGGACAAATCTTTGACCTTTGCCTTAAAGCTGTTACCACATTAGAATTCTCTATGTAACACTTGAAGTGTGGTGTATAATGCTCATTTGTGTCTCAGGCTGAAAAGTCTGAAAATGACACTTCCATCCCTTAGAGCAAATGGTTTCTTTTGTTCATTCGTTACAGGGGCAGTGTTTTATAAAATACAGATAGTTGGGTATGGGTGAGTTGGCAGTTTCTTGGTGTGCTTGGGCTTTTTGGATGTGGTCTATTGAAAAAGAATGTGACCTACCAAGCCTGACTCTTGTGCAAGAGCATCCTAGCTGAGGATGCTGCTTTCTAGAACAAACACAGAAAGAAAAAGCTTAAATAGTTTGCTATAAATAAGTGGTCACCCTGCTGAAAGCTTTGTAAATAGCCTTAGAATCTAAGCAGTAGTTTGACAGATTTAGCCTGGATTATCCACGCCTTTGAAATATGGCAGTATGAGAGTGCCAGAGCTTATTTTCAAGATCTGTCTGTTACGTATTTTAACATTTCAAAATGTAAAAATAGTTTTTAAGGTAAAGCTGGAAAAAAATACTATCCTTTCCATATTGTTTTCAGTATGACAGCTTCATGCAAAAACTGTTTGTCTTTACAAATACTAGGATTTTTTTTAAAAATAACTTATTAGGGAAAAACAATATGGTTATGGAACCTGGGGTGTTTTTTTCAAAATAATTTTAGTCATTATCATTAGGAAGAATATTAGGAATACTCTGGTGTTGTACAGCCTGGCATATTTTGTGTTTCTCAGAGTGACCCATTGAATGAAAAGCTTTTACCAGTTCATGGTGTGTTTGTTTTGTTGGGTTTTTCTGTTTGTTTGTTTGCTTTGTTTTTCTTCTCTCTTCATTTTCTGATCTGGGTTGCTAGCCAGAGGCTAGAAACCTGCAAATTATTTCTTTCTGAAAAAAAAAATTGGTGATGGAGACACATACTAGGAGCTGTAACTCAGGCTTTTATTATTTGCAAATAATGTGCAAAGCTTGTTTTATTTAGCATAAGAAGAACTAAAGAAAGTACCCAGCAAAATAAAGTTGAAAACAGTTCCTTTATTCATAGCTCTAAGCCTCTTCATTCGAACCTTCAGATTTCTAAGGCCTAAGATTCTGAGGCTGGTTACGGCATTGCTTGGTCCTTCCTGCTCTCTTTCTGCCTCTCTGATGTTTCTCTCACTGCTTTCTGTCATAACTGAAAATCAGTATCTGCTCCAACAGCAGAGTTTTATGAAGGTTCACTGTGAGTGTGCATGAGTAGTAGCTGATTTTTTTTTTTTTTTTTTTTATTATTTCAGCAATGACAAATAGGAGAAGAATCTGTTAGGTTAACTTGCACATCAGTGGAATACATTTAACATGTTTCAATTGCTGTCTTCCATCACGTATGAACAGTTAAAACTTTACAATATAGCTGATCCAAAGTATGAACATGTTAAGTCAGGAAAAGCTGTTTCTGTTTCTAAGATGATGATTCATATTTGTGATCATTTTCATGTGTCATTAGTTTTGGATTATGCTGTGCTCATGTTTTTGAGGCTAAAACATTTGTTTCCTATGAGTTAATGTGAAGAAATTAATTATTATAATGTCCAATTTGAGAATTTCACACAAATAATCTCAGTAATTTGAATTTTGATTATTAGATTTGTTGATGTTTTCTGTGGTCTGAAATTAATGTGTTTTGTCAGAGAACTCATTAGGGTTCTTTTCAGTCTTCAGCTTTTTGTGCTTGTTATGTTCCACTGTCTAAACTATAAAATTGAATACAAACATTCACTTCTCTTTCTTAATAGGATGAGATGAATAGCTAGAATGCTGGAACAGCATTCTGGCTCAAAATTTTGAAGTGCTTTACATTGAGATAATAATGCTATTTGACATATTGAGGATGGTCAAGTGTCTGGGACTAAAATAAATGTTAATGGAGATACTCAGCAATTTTGAACCAAATTAAGTTTTATTTGAAAAGCTGGTTTCATAGAGATTTTTTTTTTTTAATTTGTGATCGGTAATAATTAATGAAAGAGCAGTTTCTGGTGGTTGTTTTTAATTATTGTGGTTTTTTAAAAGGCTCAATTTCTGTCCCTTTCACAGGCTATCTGTGCATCTTGGAATATATTTGATAGTGCTGACCTTTTGCTTTTAGATTTGAGTTAAGCATTTTGGGAATGACATATTTGTTAATTAGTCAGGGAAGTGGGCAAAGGAACAGATGCCAGCAGAGCAGAGAGGCTGATGGGGACATGAGTTTGGGACCTAGGAGGGAGGAACTGAGTTTTCTCAGAATGGATTCAAAATTCAGAAAGGATAAAATATCTGGTTGCAGCTACAAGCTCCAACAATATAAATGGTTCTGCTTGTGCTTATGAGGTGCTGATAACTGTGCTGAACCACATTTTGGAATTTCTGTAGGTTGAAAAATTACAAGCAACTGTAGTGAAAACAGGTGATTTGTGTGATGTGTGATCATCTAGCAGCAAAACTGAATGCAAAGAGCTGAATGCAAAGAGCTGGTTATGTGAAGCTAAGCCTCCCTAATGCTGATATTTCCCAATTCATGAGACTTGACTTTGCAGTCTTAATGCCTTGGATATAAATTCTTGTGTAATATTTGCCTAAAGACTGTGCATTCTTTAAGATAGTTCTCCAGTGTTTTTGAACACGACTGACTTACCAGGGGAGCCTGTGTGGTTCAGCATTGGAAATGTTCTCTCACTGCAGGGACTATTTTAATAACCTAAAATAGTCTGAGCTGGAATGCCTAATGATGCTGTGCATAGTGTACTATCTTGTCTGAAATACCATGTGCAAAAATAAATGTAAGTTTTAACAACCAGTGTAAATTACCATTATGTAATCTGCAGTAAATTCCTCATACTTCGCTTTTTGAGCACAAACTCCTGAAATACTGGAGTACATTCTGCAGCTTTTGGTTATTTATCAAACTTATGGACATTTTTATCTACATCTGCCTGCCAAGTCCAAGTATTCCTGCATGGTTATGTAATACATTCCACAGCATCAACTTTCAGGAAATAGAAGAAAATATGTCTGTGCTTGTAACTGCCTTTTCTCCTCCACTTCAACTGTAAATGTAACTAACTTGCTGGATTAGCAGTTGTATGGCACTATGCCTTCTGTAAAGGTAAATGTCTCTGCTTTTCCTTCTAGATTACTCTATGTGCTTAGCTTGCTGTCATAGGTAGTGCTCTGTTGTTTCCCCTGTAGCAAGAGTGTTCTACAATTGACTGTATGAAGACTTAAGAAAAATTTTATGTGTGATGCTGTTTCAGTATAAATATTTTGCTACTGAAGTTGTTTATAGCAAGTAATTAACCAAAAATTTTGGTAACTTTTTTTCCTCTAATTTAAAGGAAGCTTCTGTGCTGTTCTAAGAGAGCTAGTGGCCGACTTGACTGTGCCAGATAGCCAGATCAATGCCTCTACTTTCTTGCTTCCACCTCTTTGTCATGAGAATGATCTCGTTTTACTTGGTCCCTTACTGCAGGAGACTGATCACCGATTTATCGAAGAGCAGGTAAATTTTGATTTAGTATAAAAGTGTTACCGTGTTTTCATCATGGTCTAGGTATTTGCATCAGTGCTGTCTTTGACTTGGTCAAAAATACAACTTACCACTTTTTTCATTCTTACAGCTCCTTTTAGGTAACAGCATAGCTGGTGGCAGCCTTGAGTACGACCCCCACTCAATTTATGAGAAAGCTGCAAGAGGAGATTCAGTACCTAAGCCACTACCTCCCATTTTGTCTGTTATCAGTGCAGCAACTCATCTTTTTGGAGTTATGTTTTCCCATATAGCAGATTCTCACAGGTAAAGTAGTAACTCTAACTGTTGGGGAATTTGGGCGATGCTAAAAGGTGGTCGAAGTGTTTGAGACTGAATGCAGAAGAAAACTTCTTAAGTTTTGCAGTTCTTAATGAATTGTATAAGTGGATTCTGTAAACTATCTGAATAATATAATTCAGAATAACAAATTATTAGAATTTCTGTTTGAAGTTACTCACACTGAGAAGGCACATCCAGTAAGAGGCTACTGTCATTACAGTAAATTCTGTTGACCAAAAAAAATGTTTTGTTTCGATAGCCAGATCAAAAAAGTTATTTTAAGACCTATTACACAATTTTTATAGTGCTTAAACCACAATTGCTAAATACCTTAGATCCAAAGAAGGACCAAAGTGGTCTAGGAAGCTGCAGTAAAATTTAACTCTTATCCTGCCTCATTCTTTATAAAAAGTGGATGGGAAGAAAAGTGTGTGTGTCTTAACACAGTTCTGTCAATGTACAAGAATTCCTGAAAGGGAACACACACTTTCTTTTGGGGGGGTGTGTGTAGGGATGGGTGTGTGTATTTTCCTGCTGTACACATGGTGTTTTGGTTAGTTTCACATTTATAAAGCACGACGATTGCTGAGGCGTGAAATTCCTCAAAATTTTTGAATGCTTTTGTTTATTCTGTGTGCTGCTGGTAATTTTCTTGACTGCAGCATTAGAGCAAATAAGTTGTTTTTAAACTAAACAGCCTTATATTTTTGAAGCCACCTCTAGTCAGACCTCCGATCATGCTCATTACAGGTGGTGATAGTTTTGTAATTTCGTACAAGAAATGAGTGCTTAGCATGTGAGGCCTGAGTCTTAACCTCTTCCCTGCTTAGAATGCTCAGCATTTAGTGTAATCCTGAGGCAGCAGTTTGTATATGAACATACCTGCCAATAAAACTGCCGTGTGCTTTATGGTATGTTCTTCTGACTTGCATTTATTTTCTTATGTTAATAAGGAAATAAATCTTTCCTTATAAACTAATAGCCTTTTTTTTTGGGTGGGAAAAGAGGAGAGGGATTCTCTTTGTCTGGATTTTTGCCCCTTCCATTATGAGGTTGGTGGTTGTTTATCTTGACTTGTTTCTCAAGACCTGAACTAATTCCTGTAGATAATTATTTTCTTTTTTTCTTTTTCTTTTTTTTCCCCCTCCTCTCTCTCAACTGTAAGTCAAAAGGCATCATTCCCATACATTTTGTTTTAGTAACGTCTGTCTAATGTTACTTAGATACATGATAATCTTTGAGTACATATGTTCTAGAGAAACAAAGGCCAAAAGTTCATTTTCATAGAGCAGTTAATTACCTATTCTAATATGAAATACAGAAATTTTTTTGTAGTAGACAGGGATGCCAGTTGAAGGAAAATGCTCAAGAATTAGGGTAACAGGTTTGTTCCACTTCTGATTCTATAAGTAGGCTTTATTATGTATTTTGAAATAAAATAAGAAAGCTTAATTTGTTTCCTCAATTTTTAATTCTGTGGTTTCTTTTCTGTTTTTGTTTAAGGCTCCAGGTGATAGAACAGTTGCTGAATTCCATAAAGCAAACAAAAGGATTGCGGCAACAAATAGTACAACTAAATGTTGTGTCAGCCTTTGCTACTTCCTTAAAGGTAAATCTCCTCTGCCTCTCTGTCACTAAAACATGGCATCAGTTGGTTCAAATGTGTCTACACAGAAGTCCTTGTTTTCAATAACAATCAAGGTGTAGATCAGTCCTGTTTTGTTTCGTTTTGTTGTTTTGTGATGCCATGCTTTTCTTAAGTGCTGAAGAGTCACAGTGCGTAGGAAAGCATATTCCTCTCTTAAAGGATATGGGAAGCCCGTTCTAGTGCCCTGTAGTGTACTGTCATCCATATTGGTGTCATTCAAACAGAGAGATGAAAAAGTTCTGTTTGTATCTTTTCTGTCTTTATCACTGTCTCTTTCATATTACTGTGAAAATTAATATGTCATGATTGTTAATCTCATAATTACGTGCCATTTGTTGCTTTTCTGTGATTCTTTATCTGGAGTTACACTCTTAAGATGAAAGAGGAAGAAAATAAAATTTGTTCTGTAGGTCTTGTAATTTTTGCATGACTGACAGAAAAAACACATTCTGATTCCTATACTGTCGTGCTGTTTAATATATTTAATACCTATTTTTAGCACTTGGCTAACTGCAAGGGAAGTTTAGGTCCAGAAGAAGTTAGAAGGTCAGCCGTGACATTGGTAATGGGTGCCTTGGAAAGCAATAATCCACTCCTAAGATGTGCTGCTGCAGAGTGTTTGGCCAGATTGGCACAGGTGGTTTCTGACAGTGCCTTCACTGCTGGACTAGCACAAGTCAGTTTTGACAAGTAAGTTCAAAAAAAGTGTGGTAAATTAGTGGCTGAGCTTATAAAAATGTTGGAGAGATCTACCTATATAGGTATACATGTTAATAATTTTTAACAGTTGTTTTCCTTCATGAATTTGGTGTCACTTCAGACATAAGCAGGAAAAAAAAAGCATTGCCCGCCTTCTGCATGTGTTTCTTAGTTTTGGTGACCTTTAAGAAGTTTCTTTAAGTAAGCATGTAGATTTCCAAATAAACTAAATTGGCTGCTGTTCTAGAAACATCATTTAAGTATATCCAAAATATTTTTGGTACTTCCTTCAGATAAGAGATGATGAATCAACTTAGAGTTTTGGCAATATAACAGAGTCTAATAAAATATTTTGACAATTGTGTACTAGAAATTCCATTTGGAGATGTGTTTATTACATAGTATCAGTCTTGGTGTTTACACTAACAGCTTTCTTTCCTTATAATAAATAGGCTAAAGTCTGCTAGGGATGTGATATCAAGAACAGGTCATTCTTTGGCTCTGGGATGTCTGTACAGGTACCTGGGAGGAATAGGTTCTACTCAGCACCTGAATGCATGCGTTGGAATCCTTTATACTTTATCTCAGGACAGTACTTCTCCTGATGTACAGGTACTTGTCACTTATCTAAAAATATGTTACAAATTAACTGATTTATTTTCTGGAGTACAAGGTTTTTTTTGTAAGACTTAACACTTCACAACTTCTTAGGCATACCTCAGAGGTGATGGCTGGAGCAGCAAAGAAAATGAAAACCTTAACTCCATAATTTGCAGTTCCTTGTAAAATGTTCAAAATGGTTTATTAAGCATCAGTTTCTCTCTCTAACCTCTCCACATGTCCCCTTAGAACCAAAAACTGCAACTTGTATTGCACTTAATTACTGAATTTCACTTGAACTGTCAAGTTTTAAAAAGATCTTATAGACATTACGTTACTGTGTCTCTTATTTTACAGGCATGGGCACTTCACTCTCTGTCACTGATAGTAGATTTGGCTGGCCCTTTGTATCATGTGCATGTGGAAGCTACCTTATCTCTTGTTCTCATGTTGTTACTGACTGTGCCTCCTGCTTATGCTGAAGTTCACCAAAGCCTTGGTCGCTGTTTAAATGCACTTATTACCACACTGGGCCCTGAGTTGCAAGGTATGCAACATACTGTACTCTCAGCTTTGTTTGATTTAGCAGCAGAATTGCTAAATGTTGTTTGAATGTGTAATTCAAAATTTAGCAACAAAACATTGGATGCTCAGTGGGGTTTTTTTGTTTTGTAAGGCAGTATTTCACAGGCCTTGAATTTGTGCAGTCAAGACATGACTGCCAGTTTTCCAAAAATTGTGTCTCTTTTTGAAATCTTTTCACTTGCTTGAACTGGTTCTCCAAGCCTTTCCTTAGGCTGATAGTTCTTACATTTGGCTTGAAAACAGGAAGTATTCCTGTTTCAGGAGTTAGGAACCAGTCTATGTCTTAGTTATGATGCAGACATTTAAAATTTGCATCTAAATCAACTTGTAGATAGCTGGACACTGAAGTTTCCAGAGAGCAAAATGATACTTACTCATTGGTGTAAGGGTATAACACAGATACAGAAAATATCCTTGAAGCATATGAGAGTTACATGTGGCTTGGGGAATAGACAGGTTATCGTGTTTTGTCAAAAATGGTGGTTTAAAAACAAAGATCTTTTTTTCTTCCAAATATAGGCAGCAGTACAACCGTTTCAGCCACAAGAACTTCCTGCCTCCTGGGCTGTGCAGTGATGCAGGATAATCCCGACTGCTTTGTTCAAGCTCAAGCCATCTCTTGCCTTCAGCAGCTTCACATGTTTGCTCCTCGACATGTCAACTTATCTAGCCTTGTAAGCTGCCTATGTGTGAGTATACCTTTACTAGTCTGTGTCCTTGTGTTTTAAACCATTTTGGTCAGAAACGCTTGAAAAATGCACGTTTCTTTAACCAGAGTAACTGATAATTCCATAGGGATGAGCTGTTTCATATACTCTTACAGGCAAGTATTCTCTATTTTTTTTTTTTTTTATCCCCCCAGTTTCTGCTTTCGCTTTATAAGATTGGCACGTTGTGTAGAAATCTTTGCTTTCTAAACTTCTTGCCATTACAGCTTTGTGATGGGTTTTTACCAGCTACTTTATGTTGGCCACTTTTTTTTCCTCTGTTGCTTTTTGTGTCTTAGGTGAAGGACTGATTAAAATTAAAAAATTGTTTGTACTCATTACTGAGAATTGTTTCGTTTGGGTTTATTTTTTCATTATGATGAAAAATTGTAGATGTCTCTATTTCATAATTCCTGTAGCACTAATGCTTCCATGTACTTACTTCTTGGCTGTCAGTATAAATATTTCTGACACTTACATGAGAAAGTCAAACTAGGTCTTTGGAGAAAAGCAGCAAAACTCTCATCCCTGTTTGACAAAGTGGTGGTGGTGGGTTGTTTCCTGGGAGGTTTTTAGTTTTGTTTCCCTCCCAAAGTCTCTGTCTTTAGCTGTTGTTCTGAAGCACTTAGATCTATGAAGAAAGCAAAAGATAGTTTTCTGGTAGTTACTAGCCTTGTTGGGTTTTCAGGGGCTAGCTAGAGTTTTTTGGTGGTTTTTTTTTTCATTTTGTTTAATAAGACCATCTAGTCTTCCTGTAAATCAGAGAGAGAGAAAAAAACTCAGACAAAATAAGGTATAGTGTTTGGGTCTTTTTAATGTCTCTTATCTTCTATTTTAACACAGTTCGTATTCACATCTTCCCCTGGGATGAAGCACTTCTATATCAGTAGTAACTATGTATTGATTTTGTAGAAAGTTTAGATTCCTTCCATTTATCTTAATTCGGTTTGACTAGAATCATGATTGTGGGAACCAGGAAAAATTGAAGGAGAAGCTCTTTCAGGCCCACATTGTGTTAGGCATGGATATACTAGTTGCAGAAGAACTGGAACTCACCTGCAGTGTTCTTTCTTTTACCATCTACCAGCTATGCGTTTCTCTTCTCTGGGTAAAACACAGTTTTTTCTTACATTGATAAAATCACAACAAAGCAGATAAGTCACTCTCTTGCTCAGAGGATGTATTACCATTTGGGATCATATGAAAGTCGAAGTACAGTGTGATCCCTCTAACTAATATCAAGTACCTACTAATAAAGAGGATATCATGATTAAGTTGTCCTGTCTGTACAGTACCTCTGTTTTTTAATTGTTTTTATGGGTTGTCTCAAAGTACTTCATACAGTACTTTGTGAACTTTATAATATTAAATTACTCAACTAAGAAAAGCGTGATTCACAGCTCAAGTGTGTGTGTATATGTGCATCTGTATACACCTTGTGTGTTCACCTCTACCCTAGAAACAATTGTGAACTTCACAGGGGAGGAGTCCACAAGGGAGTTGGTGGTCTTACATGGATGAACTTTTGTCATTCTCATGACGTTGTTACAGAACTAAGGCCAATGTTGCTGATACTGGCAATTCAATAAATGTCAATATGTGTTTCAAGAGTGTCATAAAGAATGTTTGAGTGTGTACTTTGCAAGTCTGTGGGAAGATAATTGCACAGGCAGACTTCTGTATTTGTAAAAATCACCATCCATCCATCTAGTGTCCACCCACTAAATCACCATCTTGCTAAGAAAGCACAATGAACTATTGGGCTGGACGTAAAATCTGCTATTCACTCTGTTGCCTTGCAAGGTGACCCTCAACAAGTCACTCTCCATGAGTTAATAAATTTCTGCAAGTGCAGAACAAGGTCTGACAGTCCTCCTTTCCAACACATTTTGAAGTTTTAAAGGAAAGTAGAGTATTAAAGCTGGATGCTAGATACTGTGGATATTCAGCTTTGCATTCTTTAAGGCAGAGAAACAGGAGAGGCAAAGAATCTGTAGTCAGATAAGTGACTTTTTTCCCCTTCTGTCCATAGAAAAATGATTTTTTTTTTTTTTAGTAACATTTAAACGAACTCCCCTCTGCCTTATTTCCCAGGATTTCCAGAGATTTCCATGTCTTCAGAAATTTTTAAAATTCTGAAAAAGACTTTTTTTATTTTCTCATTCTTTCCTTTTTGTCTTTATTTCTTTTCTGTTTCTTAATAAACATAGCACTAGGCATGCCAGCACAATTGCTGCCTCCTCCACCTGTCTTCCCACCCCCCAGAGCATGAGATGGTTCAGATTCCTGAGAGTGTTTCTACCATTCAGTGTGCGACTATGGTAGCACTAATAGGAGGATTCAGTTGGTGGATACACAGCTTCCCTGGCTGGTTTGTCTGAATTGTGTACATGTGCCTGTCATTACCTAGCTTCCCTTCTTCAGATGCTGAACGTTTTCCTTGTTTGTTAGTTGGGTCTTTTTTCACGGGGTTTTGCATCTAACAGTAATGCTTACCCTGTCTTGGCTCCAGTGGAGTAGTAATCATCTGCTTTTAATCATGTGTAGCATTACCTCTAGTGCTAACTTAGGTGAGCACAGACTTCTAAAGAGCTTATCAGTGTAAGTTTATGATGTAGTGAACACCAGTTTTCAGCTGCAAGACATTACAGATGTTTTGAAACATGGTAAGTATACTATGCTGATAAGTATGCTGTGATGTCGTCTTGATACTGTCAAACTATGAATTTTAAGGGAAGCTGGCTTGCAATTTAAGTTCAACATTAAATGTAAGATAAATGAACTGAGCAAGTTAGGATTTTGGTATCTTTTGAGATGAGATTCTGAATTTTCATCTGTGCTGAATTTACATGTAATGGTCTCCATGTGTGGTTGGTATCACTGTGATATCTATATTTTGGTTTTGTCATGACTGGTTTGTCATTTGTTTTTGTGCAGGAAATCTTGTTGGATAATTCTGTGTTGGTAGGTCCCTGTGCCTTGTTAATCCTAAACTTTTGCAGTTTGCAGTGATGTTTTTTATTTGATCTTTTATCTTTTCCTTTTAACCATTTTAATGTAATTTCTTTTAGCATGTCAAGTGGCATTTTGATTGTCATCCTAACCAGACCCTTCCTAACTTTCTGCAGATGGCAGACATACATTTCATTTATGTGATTAGTAAGGCTTAATTTTGGTTTTAACGTGTTAAGCACAGAAAGGGAATTGTGTGATCATTTAAGTTTGTATGTGATGCTTGCATTTTCTGTCTGTTACTTAGTCCTGTCCCCTGCTTAGAATGTGGGAGAATGAGAGAGGTGAAAAATGTGCAACTTGCATTATTCAGTAGCCTGGATTGGATCCTTTGTTTTTTCCCTTATTAAAAATGAGCACGAAATTTATGCATGTCCAATTTGATGTGTAGCCTGCTTGCATAAATGTTGCATTAAAAACCTCACTTGTTTTTTAAATTTCAATTAAGGTGTCTGGCAGGCATACTTACTGAGTCAGGTTTTTTGTCTTCCAGAAGAATTATGCAGAGAGCGTGTCCTTGTGTGTAATAAATATGTAATTCTGAATATTGTAGATTCATATGCTTGCTCAGAAATTCAGAAGACAAAATTATTTTGTTAATGTAACAGTTGGAATTCTGTATCGCTTTATCTTTCTGTCCTTAAGTTGTTTTTTTAACTGTATTTTAACTAATATATATTAGTAATTTTGATTAACATACATTGACCTGTTGCTGACACATGAGGAGCAGGACCTTACTGCAAGGTTTCCCTGCAGCAGATGCTCAGCTCTGTCTGTTTTAAAGATGGTGACAGTTAAGGGTACACAATTTCTTTGTTGGAGAGAATAACATATTGATGGTAACCTACGATTAATTTAAAAGAAACTGCATAAATATTGGTGTAGCCATCTTGCCTGGACACACAACTGGTTCATTTTATCTTTGGGATCCCTTTCAGAATGTTCTTAAAATGAAAGCAAGCAAATAAAAATCGTAAAGCTCCACCCTAAAAAAAAAAAAAAAAAAAAACAAAAAAAAACAACAACAAAAAAAAACCACACCAAACAAAACCAAACCAAATGCTTGGTGGTGTTAAAATATGGTGACGCTATAAACTTTCTTGCTAGAAAGAGCTGACCTCTCTGTGATACATTCAGCAGTAATTCTCACCCTTCCTCTCACCTTCTCTAGAATGTAATTTAGTGTAATCTGAATATTTCATATTTTTTTGCTATGAGATCGCAGCAGCCATTCTTTGTCCTTGCTTATAAACTTCCTTTCATGCATCAAATTTACTAAAGCCTGATTGTCTCACCCTTGCGTACATTGGTATTTCTCTATGTACATCTGAGGGTGATTTAAATGATTTTTTGCTTGTGCTGAGTTCTCAAGCCTATTACATATACCCTTTAGTCGAAGAATAGAGTTAATTGTTCGTTGAGACCATCATTCAGCTGTCATTGAAGTTAATTGCAGTCTTTCTACCAATACTGGTGGGTGTTGGATCCATCCCCAAACCAGTCTTATAAGGTACCTTTGGAGAGAAAATGTTAGAAGTACTGACATATTCAAATTGATTACAGGAGTTGCAAAACCTTTCATTTGGGGTTTAAACAAAACAAAAAAAAGCTGAGCAAAAATAGCATCAATTACATGCTTACTGACTTCACAGATTTGTTGTAACTGCAGTTGTTCAGAAAACACCAGCCTTGCTGAGGTATAGCTTTAAAGGGTTTTTAGCCACCTCACTGTTTCTTCTTGCATGTTTCAGGTGAATCTCTGTAGCTCATACTTACTGTTGAGACGTGCAGTGGTAGCTTGCTTACGTCAACTTGTGCAAAGAGAAGCTGCTGAGGTATCAGAATATGCTGTTGCATTAGTTAAAGAGAGCAGAGAGGATTTTACTCCAGGTAAAGTATTGAAGTTTTGAGATCAAAGAGCTTGACACATTGTTAGTGAATATTAAAGACCCTCTGCTATGGGTATGAAAACTTTGACACATTCTTGAAATCTTTAACTCAAAAGGGTTTTACTTGTTTTTCTATACCTCAAAAACGTGTAACTTTTTCACAATTTATTTTTGTCTATAAATTATGGAATTATCCAAACTCTTTCTTAGTGATAAAATGAACTTACTAATGATTTTTATATAGTGTAGGTAGTGAGGGTCATTAAATGAGAAAATGCAGGTGGAGGTCCAGAGAAACCTAAGCCTAACTAGCCAGTAGCTGTTGTAGTAACTGCTTCATAGTCCTGCATTTTACATGCGTATTCATGATTTTATTTTCTCACATAGATCTCTTTTTATATCAAAAATCTGTTATTGAGGGAAGCCATAAAAAACTCATTGAGGAAAGTTGCTGTTGACTTACTTGGAAAACTAGTTAAGTCCTGATCAGCTGGTATCCATAGAATTTTTAACTTCTTTAAGGTTTGGGTTTTTTGCTACGAGGCCTGAGAATGATCACTAGTTCATTCTCATGTGCCTTCCTGTGAGGGAACAGTGATAATAAATTATTTCACTTTCGATTTCAATTCCAGCTTATTTGGAAATTTTCAGAAAAGATACTAGGCTATAGCCACTTTATAAAACTGCTGATTTTTAAAGTTGTTAATGTTGGGCAAATAAAACTTGGTCATATTCATTTAACAAATTGTGAACCGTGTGTCTGGTTTTGAGCTTTGTTGGAGAATCATTTTAACTTTCCTTTTAAGTAAAACATTTGGTTTAGAATTACATTATAAGTCCATGTGAAAGAACCAGATGGCCAAAGATATTTTTCTTCAGGAGCTCAGATGCTATGGTGATGGTGATTATGTGAAATTCAGACCAGGATTCTTTTTTTTTTTTTTTCCCCATCAGCGTAACTTTTCCTGTTGTTAGAATATATCTATTAAAGTTCAATGTTTTTGTACTGACATGATTTAGATATGGTATTACAGCAGTTAATTCTGTTATTTCAAAAGTATTTCAGGGCTGTGTACTTGTTCACAAGATACTATGTGCAACCTTTGGTGAAGTTTCTGTGGTCATTACTGCAGTTTTGTGATGTACAGCATTCAGCTCACAGACTTTGTTCTTAGCAGATGTTAACATCAGAGAAATAGGCCTGGAGGGGGCATTACTGGGCTTGCTGGACAAAGAATTGGATCAAAGATTGTGCCAGGATATCAAAGAGACTCTGATTCATATGCTTACTTCAATGGCAGTTGAAAAGCTGTCTTTTTGGTTGAAGCTTTGTAAAGATGTTCTTGCTGCCTCTGCTGGTAAGTCCCAACACAGTGTAGTTGAGAACACAATGAAAATAAGGCCTGCAGCAGTACAGTAGTCACTGAGGGAAAGTATTCATGTTTCTTGAATGTTTGACATTTATGAAGTGCGTCATTGTCCTTCCCATTGAAACACTGGACCCTTCTACTTGGTTCTTTCAGAAGGAATATGACTTTCTCCCTTCTGACTGCCTTTTCCCTTCTGAACAAAGTTTTGTAAATGTTTCAGTATGTCTTCCCTCCTCATATTCTTGTTGAGTTATAGCCCTAATGTTAACTTATTTCCATGTCAGAAATAGAAATGCAGAGTACATATGAGCTTGTGTGTCCTGTGCAATTACCTACAAGAAAATATTCAGATCGTCTATTAATAACAGAAAAGGTGCAGGTCTAACATATCATAATGAAACTCCTGAGCAGGTTAATTTCTGTGCTGAATATTGGGGGGAAACAAAACCCTCCTCTACATGTGGTGGAGGAGGAAAGCCTGTTGGATTTAGATTTTCTTATTTGGAAAGGTACTACCTTCTAATGAGTCACACCTATTTTAAAAGTTCTTTTTTTCTTTCACTGCAGTTCTTAATTTACTTTTATGGTGTTGACCTTGTCTTCCAGCAAGCAATATCAACCAAATGCAGACAGTTTTGTTACATTTTGGTTTTAATTATAGCATTTACTTTAAGATACCAAGGTTGAAGGGAGTCATGAGGAGTTGGAGGCTAGAGTTGGACTTTGAAGAGATTTCCTTTAGAGTCCTTCTGTAGTTTTCACTTATAGTAAGAAAGAATATTGCATTTCCTCTTTTTTTCTCTCGTATCCTAAATACAGATTTCAATACAGTAGCTTCAGTAGACACCACTCAAGAAGAGGAAACTGCCAAAGTGGATGATGCATCTGTATTAACATCTGACAGCGATGAGAGGTTCCATCCTTTCAGTAATCCTCGATGGTCTACCAGAGTTTTTGCTGCAGAGTGTGTTTGTAAAATTATAAGCCAGTGTGAAAATGCAGGCAGTGCACATTTTGACATAACTTTGGCTCAGGAAAGAAAACAACGTGATTCAAGAGGTATGTGTTAAGCACTGGAAGAATTTCACAGAGTGAAAAGTGTGCTTAAAATAAATGTTAGCTGTTTCCATCTTAATGAAGTTAATCATAAATCTGTTGTTTGTAATCACTGAAACCTGTAATCATTCTGATTAGAAGCCTTTATTTATTAAGGTGTAGAGTAATTTTTTATTTGACAAAATATTGGCATGTCACTGCAGCATTTTTGCTCACTTCCCTGGTTATGGTCTCATGGCTTGTGCGCAGGAAGCCATCGTTTCTGCCTGAGCACTGCCAGTCAGAGGTGATCGCTGGTGCCAGCCTGCGACACCGCAGTTGGCCATCTGTAAGTATGATCAAAAAAATCCACTTTTTTCTTTCCATGATTTGCATAATTACCAGCAGCAGTGCAGTGCCAAATATGAGTACCTTTCTATATTCATCCAGAAGTATTTGCCCCAAAACTCATTTTTTAGAAAATCTGCTTCATGCATAAAGATATTTATGCTTTATTCTAAGCGCCTTATTTTTTTCAACCTTCAAATGTAAAGGAGCCTAGATCAGCTAAAGTGAGATGTCCAGGAAAGATTGTTGTATGTGTAAGCTGCCTGAAGTTAATCCTTGATTTGTGGTAAAGTAAAACATTTGTTTTGCAACTATTGGGAGCAGTCTTATAAAATATGTTTAAAACTAAATTTAATTAAACTCTTTTCTTTTTTAATCTCTGTTTTCTCCTCAGATGACTTCTTGGTACTGCATTTAGCTGACGTGGTCCGGATGGCGTTTATGGCTGCCACAGATCCCAGTGACGAGCTTCGTCTTTCTGGGCTTCAAACATTGCTAACTGTTGTGCGGAAGTTTGCGGCCGTTCCAGAACCAGAGTTCCCAGGGCATGTCATTCTGGAGCAATACCAAGCCAATGTAAGCACCGTTGGTAAGAGGTTTGAAAACTTGAGAGCTACAGTTAATCACTAAAAGAAAATTGCTTTTTGCACTGCTTGAGAGAGAAAGTTAGATTTCTGTTAGTTTGTTACTGAAACTGCTAGTAATTTCTTTGGACTTAACTTCCTAAAGAAAGTTTCTTTTCAGTTAGCATACAATGCTTCAGCTCTGAAATTTTTCAAGTTTCAGCAGTTTTCCCTCTTCCCTATTTGAATACACCAAAAACAAAATAGAACATTGGGGGTTTATTTGGAAAGCAGTGGCTTCAAAATGTGGAAGTATTCCAAGAAATAGTAGGAAAATCCATAATTTAAAACTTTGCTTAAGAGTTAAGTAGCATTTGCACACAAGAGATCACACGAGGAGATATTGGTCAATGAATAAACTAGAAGAGGTAAAAGCATGGATTGTACTTACAAGGTGTGTTTCAATTAAGTCTTGGTTGAGACTTACAGAGAAGATATCCTGATCATCTTGCATTCTGTAGTGCACTTGCATTGAATGTGACAGACAGCTGTATTAAGCCTCATCTAGCTCCCATTCTTCGATTTCTAGCAGGCATTGAATCTTTTCCTTATAGAAGTGGAGGTGTCCTGACACTGAAGACATCCTAACCCACTTTGATCTTACCTTTGCCATTTGAATTCTCTTCTACTGGCACTTCTCTGGGGGGGAAGAAGTTCCTTAATGTAGTCTGGAACTGCCGAGGGAAAAAAATTTACCGTTTGTCCTTGCTGTCCAAAACCATCAAGCAGGTTGCAAATAGAGCTAATAATTCTCCTTTTAACTTTTGTTAAAGTATCTCTGCTGGTATTGTCCTTTGATCTCGTCATCAGCTCTTTCACAGAAGTATAAGAGAAATTTCCATTACCTGTAGTAAAATAGCTTTCAGCAGTGAAAGTAGCTAAAATACACACCTGGTGTGTATCTTTTTCTCTTTCTCCAGATGTATTTTCCCCAAAACTCATTTTTTAGAATTTTTTGTGTGTGTGTTTCTTAGTATGTGCTAGTGTTTCAGTGTATTTTTGTGTGTTCTTTATTAGGTGGATGGAGTTTGTGTTCTCCCCTTCTTTCACTTTGTGAAGTTGACCAACTTCAGCTGTTTGCTTGCTTAAATCTATATTCTTTCTGAGTAAGGAAATGTCACTCATTAGATGTCTTGAAAGCCTTTCATGGCTTGGAATGTTGTTTCTTTTAAGGGCTACTCATCAAGTCAAGAGTTCAGGAAGGAACAGGCTTTTGTTTCAGTTTCAGAATGTGGAAAAAACTGAATCAACTTTGCAGACCCCTCTCAAAGAGAGCTGTGTCTTCAGTGTAAGCAAAGCAAAACAATGAAAGTATGACTGCAAGTGTTCCCTGTCTCTTCAGCCTCACTGGAACAGTCTGTAGAAAACTTATAAGGAAATTACACTTTAAAAAGGAAAATTGCAACAAAGCCTGCTTATGAAAAGTAATTATTAAGTTAATTATTCACTACATGTTTGTATAAATTCTCTTTAGGTTGGAGCAGCACTTAGGCCTGCCTTTGCTCCTGAAACTCCTCCTGATGTCACAGCGAAAGCATGTCAGGCAAGTGGTGAAAGTCAGAAGTCATATATAATAGACCCTCTGAAATGTCATTTTTGCTTGATACTCCACACAAGAAAAAGGAAATAAGTCATTTGGCCTCAAAATCTCAGTGCACACAAAATAGTGTCACCCATATTACCTCTAGATTGTAACAACTCAAAGATTTTATGCATTTGAAAATCTTTTGAGAAACTTTGTAGGAGTTGATGCATTGCCTGTTATTTATGAGATAATGTTTTTTGCTCTCATTACTTAAATATACTAAACTGTTATGTCACTTCATGTTGATTATTATCCAAAAGTAACTCTATCTCAGTAGAAATTAAATCTGTTTTTTTTTTTAATTTTATCGATGGCAAAAGAGAATATCCAGTGGTGTGTAGTTCTTGTTCCTCATTATTTCTGTTTTACAATAGGTATGCAGTGCCTGGATAGCAAGTGGTGTAGTAAGTGATCTTAATGATCTTCGAAGGGTTCACCAGTTGCTTGTATCCTCTTTGGTGAAAGTGCAGGCTGGGAAGGAAGCACAAAGTCAACAATACAATGAAAGCACCTCAACTATGGAGATGTTGGCTGTGCTTAAGGCCTGGGCAGAGGTTAGTAGCTCTTTAATCATAGTCTTCATATCTGATAGGTGAGTTAGAACCTTTCAGACAGAAAGGTTTCAGTAATCTCTTACGTGCTTCATTAAATAGAAGTTGGTGGTCATTTGCTTTCCTTCGATACTTCTAAACAGTGTATGAACTTTGTAAACTTAACAAAAGCACTGCTAGTTAAACTGTACTATACTGTCAATGAAGAAATATGTCTAGTACTTTAAGAAATGTGGATTTCTTAACATGTTCTAGTATTTCAATATTCATTTTAAATTAGCATGATATAAATGGCTATGGTGATGGTCCACTGAATGTACCATTTTAAATAGGCATCATTTTTTCTCATTGTCTATTGGCATTTAATTTCTTACAGGTAGTTCTTGTACGTTAACAACATCAGTTCAGTACTGCATTGGCTAGCTGCCTTAAAACCAGGTCACCTGAATGCCTGTTTTTATACACGTAAATGTAAGGTTTGATATTTAAAAATAAAAAATATGAACAATGTCTGTAATCTCTAGAAGATTTATCTTAGAAAGCACTGATAATGACCTTGGATGTTGACAGTTGATAACCAGCTAAATATGAGCATGTTCTGTAGTTAGTGTGATATATTTGTCTATAAGCAGGGAACTGCTTTGAAGGAGAAAGCAGGCAATACATAGCTTTTATGTGAACACTTGCAGTAAAAACATACCAACCTCTGGTGTCCGTACCTGAGAAGGGATTTCGGCAAAATAGGAAAGCCATTGGAGAAAAGCTAGCGAGTGGGAACAGAAACCTTGAAAACATGCTTACACAGAGACTGAAGATAAGGTGCTGTGATCGATTTAAAAATAATTATATGGAGAACAGGTTTATTAATGGCATATAATAGTAACCTATGGCTGGTCAGAAGCTAAGACAAAATTCAGACTAGATGTGAGGCTCAGTTGTAAGAAATGAAGATCTGTAGATTCTTCCCTTCTGTAATTAAGATCTCCAGAAGTCTTTAGAGCAAACTGGATAACTTCCTACTGGATCTCAGATATGAAAAACTATTACAAACTAAACTGGGAGTAAGCTTTTGTGGCCTCTAATTTGCAGGTATTTCACTTAAGTCCACGGTGCTTCCTTCTTGCTTAGGATCTTGCCTATCTCTTGTTTCCAGAATTTGAAGGAATTGCCCCATCCTTTTGCAGGGAGAAGTGAGAGAGAGAGGGACTTGGTGGGTGCATCATTGCTGGCCTGGGTCAACTCGCTACAACTAGTAAACTTGAAAAAGATACAGAAATCATAACTGCAGAAGGCAAATAGTTTCAAAAGCTAACTTTAGGTTCGTTGAATCTCCCATGTCTCATTCATAGTTGAGGAAAAGAGCTTCCATCCAGGGGCATTATAGAGAGACTAAAAAGGGCTGCTACTCTGAAACATACCCATGCCTTTTATGATAGCTAGGGTGGCACCTAGAGAAATTAAACTTCTCACATAGAATTTAACCTGTTGATGGTAACACCCGAAGTTTGTGGATGATGCAAGATTGTACTTTTCGTTCTTTACTGTTAACACTGAGTAATACATAGTTTTGAAAAGTTGGTTGGAACTGCAGTATGTCATTTCAGTTAAAAGAAGATGCAAGAATGGTTTCGCTGTGGTGTCAGGATGATAATTATAGGTATATTATTTGGTAATAAGTTATTCAGTCTTGTAGCTATAACAGGGTTCAATGGTTGGAACTTGAAGGTGGACAAGTAATATATTAATTTTTAAGAGCAGAGAAGTTAACTGCACCAATGTTCAGGAATTTTAGTAGGTTTCCCTTCACTGGGACTCTTGCATCAAGATTAGATGGGGGAATGGATTCAGAAGGTTTAGAAAATAAGTGCTTGTTCACCTGTGCCTGCTG